GGTCGCTCCTCCACACCTTACACAAGCACCTCTCACGCATTCAACGGACCGTACTCCGAATTATATCCGTATGTTCCTCTGTAATCCGTGTACACTGTGCAGCACACACCTTCTCCGTGGCAAGCGCCCGTACTTGTCGGATCACCGCCTGAAAACGTTTGTTCTTGCTCACGTCCTCTTCGCTGCACAGCCATCGTGCGACAGACAGCACCCAACGGAACATAACGCAAGCAGCAGAAACGGTAGAATAAGGTGGATCACCTGATACACAATAGTGGCAGATGTCACATCACCGTGCCGCTACAAATGGTGTTGTGACTCGGAGACACGCCTGCTCTGACGCACACCCGATCTTGCTACTTATGGAAAACGAAAGCCGTATGCATACAACACGCATCGCAGCGAAAGGGCATGGTAGCGCGGTTAGGTTGTCGCGGTGCAGCTCGCGGATAAACACGGAGTACCCCTCTGGAGAACGACAATAATGGCTTGTGTGTTTCTGTCCTCTGTCCAGCGCGAAAAATAGTCGTGCATGCAACACCCCGAGCCACCCACGTTCCATTAAGCCACAGCTGGTCCTTCTCGAAGTCCTTGCTAGCTGCCACCGTTGTTATGGCCCTCAGGTCGTCCTGCTCCAGAAAAAAAACATGTACAGGAACGCGGTTGACGAGGTGGGAGAGGGCCAACGGTCAACAGGATGGCGGCACGACTTTTTCGTCTCCTGTGCATCTGTTGTGTCAAATTATGCTGAAGGGGCAGATGACAACCTTGGTTGTGTTGGCTTTCCTTTCCGCATGTTTGCGCAAAGAGAGCCGAGGAAGCCGTACCTTAGGGAGAGCGCGAATGATCGTTGTTTTACTACATGTGATGGTGACTGGCGTGTGCTGCCTTGTTGTCACGCGTGCTGCCCTGCGTCGAAGTCCCCGATTCAGGCGAAGGGTTCTTCAAAATATGTTAGCAAGATGAATTTAACGTTCTGCGGCGCCGCTAACATGTGGTTGCTGTGATGAAACGAAGGACATACTGAGCGAAGCCCGTTGGGAGACAAGTTCCGCATGCTGCCGTGTGCACGCCTACCTCTCTAGCAACAGAGAGGTAGGAGCAGACGGGGGAGCCTCAGACCCGTCAACGTTTAACTGGCGGCTGCCTGCCTACTCAACCCTTCAATCGATTCGCGAAGCCGAGGGCGCTGTTGAGATTTCGTGGAACAACACGTTTTGCTATTTCTCCGCGAAAACAAGACCTCGATCAACACTCTTTAAGCCCAACGACTTCCGACGCCATAAAACTACGCAGCAGCAGCAGCAGCGGGGTACCTGGGAGAGGGTCACGCTGGCTGAGGAGTTGATGGGCGTGTTGAGCGCAACGCTGTCCTTTCCCCAGTACTTGATCACCGCTATGTTTGTCGGGGCCGAGCATGTCACGCACAGCCTCGAGTCGATGGCGGGAGTCATTTTCACCAGCAGGTGCAGGTATCACACAACAACGGTTGTTTCGAAGCTTGCGCCCCTCTGGGGTAGTTGGCCTGTAGCCACGAAAGGCATGCGCGTCAGTCGGAGAGGTGCAGATGTATGTTAGAAGGCACTGAGGAGACAGCAGCGGGCATGTAACGCTAGGACAACAACAACCACAACCACAAACACAACCACAACAGCACCACAAACAACCAACACCCATCACAAACACCGCCGCAACATCAGCAACAACATCAATATCAACAGCACCCGTTTTCATCGTTGTGGCCTGTCGCCGCCGTTGCTGTGTTTACGAAGCTGCAGAGAAGTCCGCCTGTCTCTGCATCGACACGTCGCCACGCGTACAGCCCAGGCGCGGAAAACCAACACTGGGAGAGATTGAAGGTTGGACGGAGTGCCGTCGTGATATGGCGTTATGGCGGTAAATACGTAAATACCGGTCCAGGACGCCACAAGCTGTGGTCCGATACACGGAGAGACGTTGAGGCTACTTCATCACGATACATCAATACCCAAGATCATTGTCAAGCTCAACCGAAAGCAGGCAAGAGCTTCGTGGGGGGGCAAATGATCAGAGTCACTGCTGCTTCCTCATTAACGGTGCACAGCAACGCCGTATATGGCGATACGTCCGAAATCAATCGAGGCCTGGCTAAACCCATTCGCCCGACAACCTTTGTCGCAGGCATAGTGATGATTCTTCAGACCTTGCCGGGCATGCTTCATCCCCAACCCCCCCAATTTCCATTGATGCTACACTTGCGCCTATATATGAAGATCGCGCCTGCACCTTGTGCAGCAGTATCACTTCGCGCGAAGGCAATGCCTGGTTTTCTAACCATCTACAATCTACAGTTACGTTAGGATCTCCGTAGTGGTCGAAACCATGTATCCTGAGCTTCATTGTGTAGTGTTGATGCCCTGGTTACAGCAGGCAATCTTGTCTACCTCGGGTTCACAGCAGGCTAAACACGAGGAATAGCAAATACTCTGCGCCCAGCACTCACGCCTACGTAGAACCGGTGACAGTGCCGGGAGGTGAGCCGATAGTGTTCAGGCCCTCAACGCATACAGCAGTAGGTCATACCATACACACATTCAGCGCCTTCGAGATCTCGGATGGTTCCCCTCGCCACGCTGTATGCGTACGCGAGCGCACACACGACGTATTCCACACAAGATAACACCCCCCGTGATATATAACACCACCAAAAACATGCTATCGCCGTTGTTCTGTATGCGGTGTAAGCCGTCGTGCCTTCGGTGGACTCTGGTGCATGGTCTGAGAGTTTATTTAGGTCTTGGGCTCGTGTTGAGAGGCAAACATGGTATCGCGGGTGCAGTCGGTATGTGGGGGGGGGGGTATCTCTGTGGTACGTTGTCTATGTATGTTGTCCTGTTCCTCCTCTGTGGAAAATCTGTTCCACTTTTTATAGCCTCTCCTCGACGGCTTAGCACCAACACAGCACCTGTTGCGCACATCAGAAGTATACAGCAGCGCGGCGAGCTCGGCGCTCGGCGTTGTGTCGTTAGATGCGTACGGCAGCTGCCTGGGGATAAGCTAACGCAAGCCGTCGCGGTGTTCCCGCGATACAGCTGATGATGAGGTCAGTATTACTGCTGTAGACTAGTGCGGTCGAATACTTTCAACATTGGCGGAGCCAGACATACATACTACTGTTGTTGTGGCTTCTCTGACGCCAGTAGCGACCCTCCTCGGCAGACTCATGCCGTGGTTATCTGTACTGTGAGTCGGTGTCGGCGTGCTGATGACAACAGCGTGCCAACGGACGGCATGTACTACTGCCGTAGCAGCATGTCCTGCAGGGAGACAGAACAAATCTTTGCCGCGAGTGTGTGCGGAAAAGGCTTCCCCATGGGGCAGTTTTTGAAAAAAACTCAAAACAGCACGGCTGGTTCCCCACGGCCTTCATCTCTCAACTACGCAAGAAGGAGAACACATCCCACCTGCTCCTTTCAGGCGATATTGCCCTTCCCTCTGCCCCGGTGCTTGCTTGGCCTCCCGGAACCGCTGCCGCTTTGCTTCGTGGTTCCTGCTGTGCACTGTGTGTGCCTCTCTGCTGCCGGCAGAGTCAGGGGGGGGTTACCCCCCTTTTTCCACATTTTGTCACGTGCACGAGGTACCCCCCCGTCAGTTTAACATTTTTTCTTTACCGTTGGGGTATTTTTGTATTTTTCGTCAGCCGCACGGCAGTTATAGATAGGCACCACAATCCCGGAGAGCGAGGGAGGGCCCCCGAGACACCACGGTATAGGCCTTGGTATTCAAGACGTGTCGTGTACTCTGGGAGTGCGAGCAAGGTATTCTGGCTGTGGGAGTTTGTGAAAAGGTGGAAGAGAGACGGAGCGTGGAAGCGGATAGACAACGAAAGAGAGTAGACACCGATCCTGCCATCAACAGACACACCGGGTACAGAGGAGACGGCACCGGTGCGCGGCCCTTGCCTTGGAAGGGGAGGAATGGATGTCGTGGACGAGAACCAGGGCTCGCATGGAATAATTGGGTCGCCGGTGAGTGGCCTCTCGCTCGAATCCCGTGAACTCTGCTGTGCTGCACGCGCACAATATGTACCGCCGCAAAGCAAGTCTGCCGTTGCAGTCAGAATAGGTACAACTCTTTCGCCGAACAGCTACTCGTACCTGCCTGTAGCACAGAGGCCTCAGAGCCTGCTGGCCAGGCCGCGGCTTGCCTTGCAAGCCTGATAAGCGTCGCTTGCGTTGGTTGCTCTGTTTTGTCCTTTTACCTGTCCCACTGTTTGTCGGTGTGTTATAGTGCAAGGCTGCTTCCTTGCCTACAGCAGTATTTGGTACACGCCGTTGCAGTCATTCTTGCCGGCTCTCTGTTGGCCTCTCTCGCGCGCCAACCAAGCACCCTAACACGGCTGCTGCTGCTGCGCAAAGGGCACACAACTGATGCGGTGCTCACTACCTTGTCGACCCTACCACAGGTGCGACGAAAGGTATCGGCTGCCTCCCACGCTGCTTCTTCCGCCTCTCCCCTAGCGGAGCGAGCGCGAGACGCTCAGGGGGTGGTGATGGAATCGCAGCGGCAGGTAAGAGCTGTTGCTGCTCGGCCGATGTTGCGTACCAGTGCACAGCAGTAATTTACCAACCGAACAGGGTTGAATAGTTAAATCCGACGACGTGAGCGAGAGATGAGAGCTGGCCCATGATGTGCATGATCGCAATATGCGTACGCGTGTGCATAGAACGCAGATATGTACTACATACAGTAGTAGTCTACGTCCAGAGTGCAGAACGACTGCTAAGCTTCTTGCCAGGTCTGCCTTGCTAAAATTGTTTGCTATCGCTTTTACTTCATATACCAGTAAAGGTTTAGGTTTGCACAGGTTTCGGTAGCAGCGCCGTCATTGCGTTTGGGAGTGCAAATCTAGCGTTAGCGAAGATCGTACAGCTTGTATTCCGAACCATCCACACCTGCTAAGGAAAGGATACACGTAAGGTATCGTGTATCGTACTACCCAGGGTATTGCATTGCTGTTGGGACTGCTGTTGGTCTCGGGGTTACACGCTCGGTAGCACGAGCATGAGGAGCACGACAGGAGCGGGGGGCTCCACCACCTGGGAAGCTCTTGCTGTCTTATTGCCACCACGATCTGTTATCCACGGTTGCTGTTTGCTGCGGTTTGTGCACCCCTGCGAAAGCGCTCGTGTACGCGCTGTTGGTGGTGGGAGAAATACCGGCTGTAGCGGTCGTTGTGTTCCTTCCCCCACAAACTGCTGTTAACGGCGGATGCTGTTTGCCGTGTGCTCTGTGCACCCCTCCGAAAAACTCACGTACAGGCTGCTGGGGGGAAAAAGGCCGTTAGCGGTCGCTCGTCGACGGGAAGCAACAGCGCGTCGAAGCGCGCTAGGCGGACGGGGAAAGAGCCCCACGGGTCGCGCAGGTGGGTTCGATGCACGTTGGCGAGTGAGAGAGCGCCCTGGTGGTCACGAGGGACGCGTTTTCAGAGGACGTGTTCTGATCCGCCTTTTCCTATCTGGTTGGTACCCAGTCTAGCACCAGTGCACCACTTCTGTTTCTTGTCACAGAGTCGATAGACAAGATGGGCATTGAAGGACGCGTCCGGCGTTGTTCCCCTCAGGCGAACGCCCGACCGAGAGGTGCCTCGACCTCTTCCGCCTCGAGGTCTTGAGACTCACTTTCTTGTGGGGAGCGTTGGTGCCGTCACTACTGCCGCTGCAGTTGTCAACGATCGTAGCTCTGGTGGAGCACCACGGTCGGCTAAACTGTCTTCTCACGGCCGTGGTAGGGCCGGGCGTATTTCCCGCGTCCCACCGCTTTTGGCGTACAATAATCGCAATCCGTCGCCACAAGCTCTGCGTGAGGGGAAAAGAATTCCGTGGAGGTATTTCGAAAGGGCGCAGCTGGTGCAGTTTCTCGCCGCTGTTTACAAACGCTGCCGGGTGGACGGAGTTCCGTCGAGGCGTTTTGAAAGATTGTGCTCTCGACGCACATAGGTTATGTACGCAACCCTTTCACTCTTCGCCCTTTTCACGACACGCTTCTTTCTTTCTTTCTTTCTTTCTTTCTTTCTTTCTTTCTCGGCCACAGAGAGACGGCGAGCAACTTGGAGCTGGCGGGTGTTTTGGAAGCCCTCGGTTCGCCGTCGACCGGAGAAGTGGTGATGGAGGAGGCGGCGGTAGGGGGCGAAGCCGTCGCGGCCTGCGCCAAGAAGTCGAGGATGCGGCACAAACGCCGGATGACCGCCGACATCTTGGACATCAACAACATCTTCGACGACAGCATGTCCAGTGATGGGCCGGCCGCTGCTGCTGCTGCCGCCGCAGCTATGGCGGCGGCTTCGCCGCCGCCGCGGACCGGCCCTGCACAAGCGGCGTCCCCCGCCGGCGGCAGCTTGACGAGCAGCGTCTACGATGGCTTGGACTATGTCTCCTCCCGGTCGTCTGGCAGCAGGCGCAGCAGCTTGGAAGGGGGCGGCGGTGCCGACCAGATGATGGCCGGCGCCGAGGAGGCCGACGGGGGGGACGAAACCGCCGACTTCTCGGCGATCTTCAAGCTCGTGGCGCAGGGAACAACGCCGGCGGGGAAGAACACTCGAACGCCTCCCGGGGAAGGCTCGCAGGCTGTCGGCGCCGGCGTCGGTAGTAGTAGCACTCCACCACCTGCCGGACCCCCGAGGGCGAGGCACCACAGCAACCAGAAGCCCGGTCGCGACAGCTTGGCGCAGGGCCTCGTTGAGCCCGCTTCTCTGCCGCCCGGGGCGTTGGGGAGGGTAGGGAGCGGCGCCGGCGGGGTCAAGGAGGTGGCTCCTGCCGCCAACAACCCTGCGGCTCCTACGGAGCGGGTGCGGAGACCGAAGCATTCCATCTCGAGGGAGACGCCGCCGGACAACTGGGAGCACATGGCGGTGCCGACACCGGGCCCGGTAAGAAAAATGGTTGGTTTCGTTTTTTGTATGCCTCGTACGTGGTGCCGTGTGGTGCTGGTGCTGGTGCTGGTGATGTACTTCTGGTTGTCCCAAGTCCTGTGGTGGTGTTGGTGGTGAAAGGCGTTACTACTGGCTGTCCGCAAATCCTCTCTTTGTGGGGTCTATGTTTTTTTGTCACGGTGGCGCTGTTCGTGAAAGGTGTTTCTGCTGGCTGTCCGCAAATCCTCTCTTCGTGGGGTCTATGTTTTTTTTTGTCACGGTGGCGCTGTTCGATACCCTCTTTGTGTGGTCTACGGATTGTATGCCACGCTGTTCGATCCTCTCCTTGTGTGATCTGTGGGGTTCTCTCTCTTCGTGAGGCCTATATGGGTTTTACCTGACGGTGGTGGTGTGCTGGCGGTGAAAAACTCGTGTTGCGGTTGCTGTACGGCTGCATTGTGTTGTGGTTGGGGGCCTTTCACGCATTTCAGCTCGCCACGGAAGCTTGGTTGCCATTTGTGTTTCGGCCGTTTGTGTCGTTTCCGATGCCAGGCGGGCGCTTGGTCTCATTGCCGCACTGAGTTTTACCGACAGGGATAGGTTGGGGATGCCCTTGGAGCTTCAACGGCGGCTCTCGACCATTTATGAACACACGTGGTGTTGCAGAGCGGAAAAGCTTGAGTTCCTCAGAGCAATGCATGTAGTCAACCTTTGCGATACCTTTATGAACGCGACCGATATTGTGCCTGCCGCATGTGATGTGACACATGGCGATCGGCGACCCCTGCCCCCGGTTTGTTGTTGGCGCTGTCTATTGTTTCCATTTCCACGACACAGCGGCACCGTGACAGCCTCCGGCCGTCGCACCAGCCTACCTTCCATTCCCCCAACGCCGACAGTGCCGCAAGCGGCACCTCTGGTACCCCCGGCAGCGGCAGCGGGGAAACCGGCGATGTCGGCAAGCTCTTGGCGGATCTGTCGGCCAACAGCATGATCAGCTCTGCGGGTGGAGGTAGCGATGAGGAAGACGACGGCCAGTACACGGCCATGAACGTTGACGCGGTCATGGCGGAGCTCGAGTCTGACGGGATGGGGGGCCGGGGGGAGGTGCGGGGCTGCGATGATCATCCGACAGCCGTCGACATGGACGCCCGGGTGGCGGAGCTTGCGGACGGCGGTGGCGGCGGCGGCACTGGTGGCAAGAAGAAGCGGCGGAATACCGCCGAAAAGTTGACCGTTGACTCGTTGCTGGGGTCGTTGGATAGCCCCCCCGTGCAGTCCTCCGGTGGGACACGCTTAGCGGGGACTCCCCGAGATTCAGCTGAGGGTGGGGGCGCGACGCCGCTAGGTGCGGCGGAACCGAGCGGCGTTGCCGCGACGAGCGAACAGCCCGCCGTTCTTCTTCCCAAGGCAGGTAAGAGGTCTTCCCGGCGTGACACCGTGGATCCTTCGGACTTTCAGGACCTCTTGCAGGACCCCGACATGGTAACGCCCACGTCTTCCCCGGCCGCCATCACCGCGGCAGCAGCAGACGCCGTGGCTTTGGGCGATGGCTCGTCGTCTCTGGCTTCCTCTTCCCCTGGCGAGCAGGGCGCCGCCGCGGCTGCAACTCCCGGGAGCGGTAGGTCGGGCGCGACGGCTGTGTCCATGCGCGGGGTATTCGAGCCTATAAGCCCGTCGCTTGGGGGCTCCGCGGATGGGGAGGGTGTGCCTGTCGGTGGCGGGTGTGTGGTCACCCCGCGGTTCGACCGCCGCGTCAGCGGCTCTGTCGGTGGAGGGAGGAAGGACAGCGGTGGGACGGCGGGAAACGGGTCGGTGTGTGGGCTGTTGGACTCGACCCCTTCCCCCGGCGGTGGTTTGGACCAGAGCTTCGGTGAAGGGGAGGGGAGGGGGAAGCTCCCACCGATGACGGGCAGGGCGGGAGCGATCGCAGCAATATTGGACAGCGGGACCCGCGGTCGCAGAAGCAGCGCCAAAGCGGGGAAGAATGGGGTGCGTAGCATTTTGGTCGTGTGGAGGGGAACAACGTGTGGTTCCCGCTGAGCGGGGTGGAAAGGGAATGAGTTGGAAGTTCAGCGCTAGAGCCCTTGTTTTGTTGTACTGTGTGTTGGAGAGCTTCGGTTGAACCGCGCCGTTTTTCGTCCATGTTTCATGTTTAGCTTCATGGCGTTAGGCGCTTGTTGTGGTGTTTTTTGACTGGCTGAGCAGATCTACTATGTTTGATTGCCTTATCTGGTACAAGGCCCCAAGGAGAGTATCTACGGACAAACTGTATTTGGCTTCTGTAGGTCGATCGGGTTCGGTTCGGTTTCGTCCGCCTCTTCCTCGCCGCATTCTTTCACCACCACCGGTCATTTCTTTGTTCCGCTTTGCTTGTCTCCCCCGATGCCTACGTATCGTTTCCACCAGCGGCGAAACACCTGCGAACCCGAGGAGTTCGGTGACGTCATCGCGGACTTGGACTCTGAACCGGACACCCCGGCTTCCTCTAGAGACCATTCCCGCGTTGGCGAGGACGCTGCGTCTCCGCAGGAGAAGGGAGAACCTGTGGAGACCCTCTCCACCCCTTCGAGCAGCTCCAGGTGACCGATTGATGTAGCCTGCGCCATGCTGAGACTGTTGTTATATTTCAGCCGAACGGTTGGCTCTTACGCGTGTCTCTGCAGTTACGTTTGTCCGGGGAGTTTTGGTGCTCCGGGCCCCTCTTCCAATTGGACCCTGTTTTTTTTTTTTTGCCTCTTGTGATTTTAAATTTACGAACTGGTAAATGTCTCCGGTAGTGAGCAGTGTCAGTTGTATTTTTCGATGGCGAATTCCACTTGTTCTCGCGCGAAACGTACACATACACCTACTTGTCTGCTAGGCTCCACGTGGCATCTTCGCGTTCGTGATACGTGTTTACTCGCGATCTACCGTATGTCGAGGAGAGAGAGAGAGTGAGAGAGAGAAAGAAACCAGCCCCCGGTGACAGGCAACGAGGATGCCCATGCCCCTGGAAAGATAACCACCACCTGGGTTGATGTTCTGCAAACGGAGGCTGCTACGACGACTGAGCGTCGGACACTGGCGTGCGACTCGCGGGTGTCCGCACTCCGTTTTGTTTGTCGTACTTGGGGGAAGACAGACAGCCGAGTTGCACTATTTCCACGTTTCACAAAGCATCCCCCCCCCCCCAACCTCGCGCGCGTGCATGCACTTGTGTGTCTGTGACCCGTGTAGCCTCGACTCTTCCCCGGAAGCATCAGGGCCGGCGGCTCAACAAGCGGAGCAGGAGGCGGGGGCTAAGGCCGGTGCCGGGGGCCCGGAAGAGAGTATGGATGTGGACACGGACGAAGACTCTTTCGACTCCCCCGGAGGCGGCTCGGAGGACGAGAACAAGCCGAAGGAGAGGGACGATAGGAGGTCCACCGCTTCTCCGACTACGCTAGGCGCGCTCTTGGAAGACCTGGGGGCACAGGGCGAGGTGAGAGGTGTGGGGGAGGGGTCAAGTGGCCCCGGAGGAAGGAGTCAGGGAGAAGCTGTGCTTTCCCCTTGGGTATTATAGTGTCCCCCGCGCGGTAGATTTGCTGTCAGATATTTTTTTCGGGGATTTCCGGCGAAGACGGGTGCGAGGATGGCGCAAGAACGGCAGCATCCGAGTTGTGAATGGACTAAATAAAGTTGAGGGACCTTGTGTGTGATTTTGGTGTCTGCAATGGAGCATCGAAAATACGCGCTATCCTTGCTGCGCATCGCACCGACTGCGCAAAGTAGTGTGGTAGAATTGTCCAACATAGGTCCTCACGAGTAGTGGTAGTGCTGAATGCAGCAATGCATCCGCTTTTTTTGTTCACGCAACCCGTGCCGTAGCACGCGACAACCCCTTCCTGTCGACCAATTCAATTCCATCCTGTTTATCGCCGCCGTCAACATTGCATCACATTCTTTCCCAGGACGAGACCGACGAGCACGGTACGGTCAACTCCACCGAAGGTGTCAAGGCGTCTCCTCCACAAGAAAACGAGAGCGGCCCTTCCGATGATGGTGGGTGCTGCGAGTGTGGGTAGATAGAATGTGTGTTCGTGTTTCGGTGAGGGAGGGAGGCTGCCTACGCAAAGAAAGAACGTTTTTTTCGAGAAAAGACCAGACAGGGGGCACGCAGACCCTAATCCCGAACCCAACTTTGCCGATTCCATAATTTATCTAAATAATATGTTTGCTTACAACCACCTTCGTAGACTACTTGGGAAGGGAGTGGTGTACTCATGTAAACACATGCCGTAGTCGTTGTAGGCGATAGACCTCTCTGGCCTACAATGCCGGGAAGAAGAATCCCGGTTTTTCGTCGGCCCTGACTACGGTTGTCAAGGATGAACCAGAAAATGGTCGTCACCCTTGCGTTTGTGAGCGTACACGGAATATGCCCCGTTGTCGGAGATTTTCGCCGTCGGTTGTATGTATATGTATGTGGCATGAAACGCGAGTATTTACCGTGGAATGTCCCGGTTGCGCCCTCGTCTTGCCACCCTATCTCTCGCACCCTGACTTGCGCCCCGCCCCCCCCGCCCTCCCCTCGTCTGCAAACGTGGTCTCTGCTTGCGCCATTATCGCCGTCGTGGTCGCCTGGCATGTGGTATGGAACGCCCCTCCCGTGGTATGTCTGGGTTTCTTGCCGCCTTTTCCCTCACACCACCCGGGCGGACGCAACCCCCCCCCCCCCGTCCGCCAACCCCGTCTGCAACATACCTGGCCTGCTTGTGCCAGGGGTTGAGGAGAACACGTCCCCGATAATCACCCACACGCCGTCTCCGCCGGTGGCCCGCCGGACGCGGTCCAAGAGCCCGGCATCCATGAAGCGGGCCAACGTGGGTGAGGTAGGCTTGGCCTCGCCTCGCCCCGCCGCGAGCGCCAGGAACAAGAGGAGCTCGATGTCCATTTCCGCGTCGCCGGCCTCAAAGGTGAAACGGCAAGGGGGACGTGTTTGGATTCGGGTTTGTGAGTTTGTGGCGGGATGGTTGGTGACCACAGAGTGGCGTTGAAGTCTTGTGTGAGGAGCCGATGTCCCTCACTCGCGCTTCCGCCGGCTGGAGACTGTGTCGATAGCTCGTACTGTAGGCTGCGCTTCTGAAACATATCAACAAACGCTCCGGAATGAAATGGACCCGGCTGATGCGTCCAATGTATAGCCACACCGACGGGAGGGTACAACAGAGTAGCGCCAGAAACAGTGACAAGACACGGCATCGTTTCAGCGCTACGGAAGAGAAGTGTTGAAACAACTGTTCTTTAGCACTACTGCAGACTGTCAAGACCTAAGACACCAGACATTATTCACCATCACCCCCCCCCCCCCCGACAACCCATCCTGCCACCCCTACCCCTGCGACCCAAGGTTTCGCAGGTGTCCGCCCCTCAGCCGGCGCCCGAATCCGCCCGCGGCCGCCTCAAGAGCTGCCTCAGCTCCCGCAAGCGCGCCCGCGGGGGCCCCGCCGGGGTAGCGTCTTCCTCGGGCCGATCGCCCTCGGCTTCCCTGGGAACTCCGGACTTGACCAATTCTGCTGGCACCGACGGTAGCCTGGCGATGGCCGGGAGCTCTCCTTCACCCTCCCGCGGCGGGGGCGCCGCGGCCGGCAGCGGGGTGATAGCGGGGGCACCCCACGGGGTTAAGACTCCCGGTCCTTCGTCGGGTGTGAGCGGCGGCGGCGGCGGCGGCGGCAGGGGGCCGGCGTCGGACATGGGCCTGGAAACCCCGCGGCGCGTGATGTTCGGAGCGCCTATGGCGGCGGAGTTCAACCACCTGAGCCCGTCGAACCGCCTGACGCCGATGCCCAGCCGGGACGCCAAGGTTTGTGTGTGTGTGTGTGTGTGTCCAAGGTTCGTGTGTGTGTGTGTGTGTGCGTCTTTTTTTTGCCTTTCGTCTTGTCCCCACGCTCCTGCTGCCGCTGCTGCTGCTGCTGCGGTGGGTCCTTGGTAGGTAACGGCTCCCCGCGGATGTCGTGAAGGGCTCTTTATGGCGCCTCGATTTTCCCTTTCCCTAGGAAGGAAGAGAAACGATAGTTGTATACTTGTACAGATTGGAAGCTGGACGTTCTATTTAGTCGCACACATCCCGGCCGTTTGGCTGCTCGTTTGCCATCTGAGTCTGCCTGGAGCGAACAAATGGAGCATGACAGCAGTGGAAATTCGTATAATCGTTGGCATACCCGGAACCACCCATCTGCCTTCCTCTGTTTGTCTGGCTCCCGAGATATATATACGAGAAGAAAACGCACGCGCGCACCCTCCATACAGCAGTGTACCAATATTTTTCCGGTTGCACGACGCTGGTTGCTGGCGTGTGTCTCGGAGTCAACGCCCCCCGCGAAATAACCAATAGACCTACGAGTATGACCTAACGAAGCCCTTCCTTCCACGTTAACGCCTCTCTTGTGTTTAGCAAACCCGTGGAACTCCCGCCCGACAAGAGAATATGGCGCCGAGTGCAGGCCATCCGAACGGTTCGATCGATGCCGTCATGCCATCGTGTCCGCGAAATTCCGTCCTTGCTCACCTTTGTGTTCGCAGAGCCTGTTCCCCCTGGAGAAGCAGGAAGAAGCGGAGACGGACGAGGACGAGGACACAGCGGCTAACAGCGCGCAGCTGGCGGAGTGGGAAGGCGTGGAGCCGATGGGAGAGGGCGACCTGGAGTTCGACGACTTCGATGGCGTCAACGGGGCTGGGAGCATGTTCTCTCCGGAGCAGGAGGCCTTCTCGAAGGCTTCTCCCAGGTGGGTTAATTTTGTGAGATGTGTGCGTGTATGTGTTTGTGTCTTTTTTATTAGCATCGATCGCGTTAGCAGGCTGACCAATGAATAGACGTCAGTCTCAGTGCGGCGGAAAACACAAAATGCTTCTCCATGATCTGGGATCCTATGAGTTGGGTATGTTTCTTTTTATTTATTTCAGCAAAGACAGCGCGTACTGGCTGACCATTGGAAATACGCAGTCTCAGTGCGGTTGACAAAAGAGAAAGCTTCTAAAGGGCACAGTACCATGATCTAGGACCCCGTGAGGAGGCGCCATGGTATGTCCGTATTCGTGATAATCTTCGTATATTTAGTCTGGACGTCCACGCAAAGCTCTTTCCGGTCATTGGTTCAGAAGGAAGGCCACACAGTAGGGTTGTGTATCGGCGCAGCCGAACGATATAATATGTATCGGAGATCGGCGCAGCCGATATATCGAAAAAATATCGGCGAGCGAAGCGAGCCGTGGTTAGGGGGCTCGCGAAGCGAGCCCCCCCTCGGCCCCCCGGCTGGTGAGGGGCCCCGCTGGAGGCGCCCCGCTGGAGGCGCCCCGCCGGAGACGTTTTTTTACGCGATTTGGCTTCACTAGAGCATATTTTTTGGGTGATTTTGGGGCACTTCGACCATGCCATTTTTTGGTGGGTGATATCCTGAAAACTACTGAAAAACGCTAAAACTTGGAAACCATCGACAATAAATGACAGATGATTAGTCAGTTCTGATGAGACGAACCAACTCGTCGTGCCAGATCGCCCCCCCCTCCTCCTTCGGGAGGAAGTTGGTGATCGCTGCTTGTCCTGTTGGTGCTGCAGCGGAGCCGGAGCCTTTTGCCTTCGCGTGCTTGATCGCGGTGTGTGCGTCCCTGTGTCCAACCTTGGAGGTGTCCAGATGGGCCAGGAGATTGGTAGGCGACCCTCCCTTGAACTTGGTCTCTGCACAGTGAAAGTCGCCGTTTGCCACGCACAACTGACAGATCGCGATGCCCGAATGGCATGGGTTCCGATACACCCTGAAATGCTTCCACACCGGGTGTGAGGCATTCGGGGGCTTGGGCAGCTTCGGCTCCATCTTGACCCTCTCCACCTTCGCAGCCCGCTCGTTTTTCTTCGAACGCTCTGCTGTCTCTGTGTCTGAAACTGGTTCTACTGCAACCACCGGCGTGGAGGACCCTCCATCCTGGTCCGCTGCTGGTGGGGTACTCATGGGGTGTTCGGCTAGTGTTCGGTGTTCGGTCTGCTCTTCTGTGGTCCAAAGCAACAGCCGCCGCAACAGCGAGGCCTCATAGGGGGTCCAAACGTGTAACTGTTGTAACATATGCCCCCTTTTTGATTCACGGAGCCCCCTCAAATATATCGCCCAACATATCGGGGCTGACAATAGATATTCGATACGATATATATCGTCCGATTATATCAAACATATCGGCTCCGATACACAACCCTACCACACAGGGTTTGTTGGCGCCGTTTTTTTTATTGAATGCGGTTTCGGTATTGCTGCTATGGTGTAATTCTCGTTGGATGGCCATGTGTTTACCATGACAACGTGGAAGTCGTTTAGTTTTGATCTGTCTCGAGTCGAGTCGAGTCTACAGGTGAAGTGAGACCGTGGGGATATTCACGTTCTGTACATGACAGATTTTCCGCCAGTCCGTTCTCTTCCATCTATCCTGTCAGTTCAGGTTACTGTTTGCACGCGCGCCCGCGGGGAGGGGGGCTGATGACAGTCGTCTGGACTAGGTCGCCACTGCAAAGTAGAGACAGCACGAACAATACGGCTGCTAGGTGGGGCTGTTGCGAGTGAAACTCCACACTCCACAACTTGGTGTCACCCCCCGCCCCTGTGTACCGTCGTCGTGTTGCCGTCGCACGGCGGTTATCGAACCCTTGGTTTGACCGAACGCAGCCCTAGAAATCGCCGTCGGGATAGCCTGGCCATCAAGAGCCCTGTCCGGAAGAGCATCATGGGTGAGTGAGGCGTTGAGGCTTTCCGATTTAATTTCGCCCTTTGGCAGACGTGCTTTTTGCGGTTGAGGCATGGTAGGTGGACAACTCAACGCGTGTTGTTGTGTTCTCGCAAATATAGGAAGTAGAGACGTAACGCATGATACGGTTGTCTTTGGTGGATATAAGCCGATCCGGTCTCCGCTTATCGGGTGCTGGTCCCACTGACGCGGATGTATTCCATAGTCACAGGCTCGGTATCCCCAACAGAGGGCATATGTAGTCCCGGCAACCGTGCCAAATTATGGAACGTGTGTCATGTGTCACGCTGTGCGCCTGTCTGACAGTCAGGCTCGTTGAGAGGTGAAGTCTTCGTGACGGCTTCGTGATCCCTGACCCCGCCTGTGTCGATATCTCTTCCCTACCTCTCCATGCTACCTCTCCGTTCATCTCTCCTCTCTTCTCTCCACCCATATCTCGCCTCTGATTTTCTTATTTTCCCTCCGTCGTGCTCCGTCCCGGCTTCTTAGGGATGCGAGGTCAATGGTCTAACGACTACGGCATGCACGACTCTGAGTATGAGTACACCCCCCTTCTCCGTTTATCTCCATCTTTTCTCTTCCTTCCACCCGCCCCTTAACTCTCATCCCTTCGCTGTCCCCCCCCCCACCCTCCATCCTCCCTCTTCGCCATCCCCTGAACCCTCTCTACGTCTGTCCGCCGTTTCTCTCGCGGAAAACCGTGCAGCGTACTCCGAAGACGTGCGGGCCATGGGGGGTGGGGGCCCTCCGTCGCCGTACGACTCCGACTTCGATCCAGCCGCCCGCAGGGTAGAGAACCTCAATGCGAGCCTCTTGGGTCCGGCGGCGTCGGCGGTGAAGAGAGGCGCCAGCGCCGCGTCGTACGAGGAACCCCAGAACCGGTCGTTCTCGGTGAGGAACGTTCTTGGTGTGGTTGGTATGGTGTTCCATCTTGCCCACGGTTATTCCACGAATGACCGCGGTTATTCCACGAACGAGTGAGCCCCCGAGGGTCCTGAAACCCCAGAACCGTTCCTTCCCGGTGAGGAACGTTCTTGGCGTGGTTGCCGTGGTGTTCCGTGTTGCCCGCGGTTATTCCACGAAAGAGTTAGCCCCTGAAAGGTCCGGGGGGTACACCTGCAGCGTCCTTGTTCTATTTAGTGTGCATGAGGGGCGGAAGTTATCTTCAGGCTTGTATTGGTTCTTGGCCTGCTATTTATAGGGCAGGGAGGCATTGCTGATAGTTTAGTGTGGAACTGGCGTGCTCGATTCTGGGTAAGCGTGTTTCTAAAGCTCCCACCGGCATGTGTCCAAACTCAGTCAGTACCTTGCTTCATTTTCCCACTAGTGTTAAACGGTTCATTGGGTCCTTTGCCTACCTTTCTTTAATTCCCTCCCGTTTCGCCACCACTGCTTGGCCGACTTCCGCCCACGTGGTGAACTCGTTCGACTCGCTCCCGCCGGCGATGCTGTCCACTCCCCGCCGCATTCGCAACAGATCAACAACTCTCAGTTGCACCGATTGAACGATTCCGACTCCTCCCTTGAGCTGACGGGCACCTTCACCACGAGCGAGGAGGTTAGAATCACTCCGGCGATGGCGGCGGCCGTAAGTGCTCCCCGCGATGCCGCAGCTGCGGGAGCAGGCGGCGGTGGTGGTGTTGGCAACGGTGGTGCGGGCGATCTGTCGAGGCCAGCAGCCGGAGGTGCGGGCGAGGCCGAGCCTAGTGTTGGAGACGCGGATGTCGACGACAGGTATGTTGTGCTACACCGGTTTGCTGCTGTGCCGGCCGTGGATGCAATTCCAGTCACATGCGCTGGTTTTGTGAACTGGCTGTACATTGAAGCGGCGTTGAATTTTCACTCTTTGATGGTGCTGAGCAAAGTCTCTTGCTACAATCAGTGATTTCAGTGATTGGTTGATTTTACTTGCCCTCTTCTTTTGTCTTTTTCTGTTCTCCAACCCTCACCCTCCCGTCTTTCATCTCTGCACCGCACGTCCTCCATCACAGCATGGACCTGAACGAGTCAAGCGAGCTCGAGTCTACCCTTCACGGTGCCTCCATCAGGGATGCGGCTTCCCCGGCTCCAGACCCTAAGAGGCTCTCCTCCGGTTCCCTCCTCAGCGTCGTCGATGATGTGAGATACTACTGTGTGTGTGTCTCTCTTTTTTTATTAGCATCGACCGCACGAACCGGTTGACCAATGAAATGTCGTCGGTCTCAGTGCGGCGTGTGTACGTGTGTGTTCGTTCTTCCCATTTATTCTGGCGCCGGTTCTTACGGGCCTGTCGGCGTGTGCACCTGACGTATCACCCGGAGTCACACAAGAGGAAGGTCGTACAGAGGGAGGGCTGTAGCTTGATTAATATTGTTGCGAGAAGGTGGGTGCAGGGGGTGATAGGGCGCTGCAGGCAAGCCATGCTGAGGCGCCCACGCCACGGCCGTTCGCGTTGCACTGAGTGGATGAGGTGCTGTAGCGGATACTGTTTACGAGAGGTTGTTGAAGACTTTTTACGGATTTTGTAAAGAGTAGAAGTGGTTTGTCTCGACCACGAGAACGGTTGTATGTGTTCGACATCGGAGTTTGGAGAGTGCTTTGGGCGTATCCCGACCCTCTCTTGAAAGTTCAGCCGGTACGGCTGTACTTGGGCTGTAAGGGCTTGTTGGCTCCCTCGGTCGATGGGAGTTTTGGTGTACTTCACGCAATGTCAATAAAACCAATGCCGTGTGGTCGAGTGTGCGATTTATTCCGCGTGTTTCCGTAGGTGGTGTCCATTTCGAACGAGTAGACGCTTGTGTTTTTGTTGTTGGTGCAAACCCATACGCGACAAAATCACCTCCATTAACAGATACTCATGAGTGCAGGAGGAGTTGGCAATGAATTATGGTGAGGTCTGTTGGGCCCTCGTGTGTTTCCACTATTGTCCAAGCAACCTCCAGCAGTGATGTCGCCTCCCCTGAGGCTAATAGGCCGGCTGCTTGGTATGGTCTTCCCGCTGCTCCCGTGTTCCCTCCCACCTGCAAGTTGAAAACGAGATCGTGCCTGAGGGCACCAGAACCTTTTTCTTTTCAGGCGAACACGCGTGGAAATTCATTTTGACCGTCATCGCGTTATCCCTGTCGTGGCCCTGGACGGCTTGTTGCGGTGCCAATACCGTTCCGCGCATGTAGCTGACGCTGTGTTGAAAGAACAGTAACTTTCGCTCTGAACGGAAATCTTGACCGAGGTCTGAAGCCTCTTTATGTCGTGCCTGCGTGAATCAACCCTTTTGCTGCTGCTATTTATTTTCGTGCGAAACTCTCTCTGGTTCAGGTGGAAGAGTTCGAAGAGGAAGTGCTCTCACAGGCGTCGGGCGAAACGCAGACGACTCCAGAGGGGGGCGAAGGTGAGAGAGAGAGAGAGAGAGAGAGAGAGAGAGAGAGAGAGAGAGAGAGAGAGAGAGAGAGAGAGAGAGAGAGAGAGAGAGAGAGAGAGAGAGAGAGAGAGAGAGAGAGAGAGAGAGAGAGAGAGAGAGAGAGAGAGAGAGAGAGCAGGAGCGTGATCGGTGGTGCTGCGCATCTGCTCGGAGCATCCCTCTCCCTTCTACTCACAGCCGTGTACGAAAGTGGTACCGTGCGCGTAGATTTCTTCCACTCACAACGGCGGTGGGGCACTCGAAGTGACCCGGCGCGCGTAGACTTCGGTGTTGAAGGGATGCTGCTACACAGGAGATGGTGTATGGGTTTGTTGCTCTGTGGCGAGGACGACGGTCTAGGAGAAATGTCGATGTTGTAGTCGTGACAGGTCAAGAGGGAGATGGGCGTGCTCATGGCACTTGCGCGCCGGTCACAGCGGTGTTATTGCGAGAAAAATACGTTGCGTCCTTCATGGTACTTGTGTCCTCGTGGGAGTGATATCATCTCACCCCGGGGTGCTCCACCATCTCACCTCCCATGCTCGATAGTGCTAGCTAAAGTCACCCCGGATCTACCTCGCTCCAATGTAGGTCTTGCTCACCTATGTCGGCCCCGCGTTAAGGCCGTTGCCCTCAATATGGCAGTGCAGCGGTGGCATTCTGACTAGTACACCGTTCTTTGGAAGAATTCGGCGTTTTTGTGGACAAATATCTCTTGGGATAGCTAGTGTATGTACTGTCGCAAACTCCGTGAAATGCTGTGCTGGCCGAACTATATCGCCCTCCCGCCCCCCGGCGCTTCGCGCTTGGTGATGTGAGAGCCTGGTCCAATGAGAACCCTACGGCATGCACGATTATGAGTACCCCCTCCCCCCGCCCCCTCGGCCTTGTTTGCCATGGGGGTTTGGGTTTTCGTCGCTTGGCAACGACGTTGTAAAACAAGCCACCCCCCCCCGGTGTTTGCCATCGGGGTTGGGTTTTCGTCGCTTGGCAACGACGTTGTAAAACAAGCCCCCCCCTCGGTGTTTGCCATCGGGATATTGGTTTTTTGTCGCTTGGCAACGACGTTGTAAAACAAGCCAATTCACTTCGTGAACTCGGCAACCAGGTTACCGTTTTTTTTTTTTGGCGGTAACCATAATGGTGGTCGAGTAGATCATGTTGTGCGGGGTGGAGAACCCTCACTCCACGCAAAGGGGATAATCGCACCACGTTGTGTTAAAATGGTCAAGCATCCTCGAGGCAGTTACACAGTGCTTACAACTGTCTCTGGAAGTGAAAGCACCAGAAAATAAATTAAGTAATACGTATTTAGCTGTCATCCGTACGCAAGGAAGTAAGCACAAGATGCCGAACAACCTTAGCAGGATGCAGCTCACCCTTCATGCGACTCGCCAAATACCTCACGGCGCTTCGTGCTTGGTGATGTGAGAGCCTGGTCCGGGGTGACCCGGCGTGCTCCGTCCCGGCTTTGTAGGGATGCGAGGTCAATGGTCTAACGACTACGGCATGCACGACTATGAGTACATCCCCCCCCCCGGATTCGAGATTGCGGTGATTGTGTGACGTTGATCGTGCTCCTGCTTGCGCCGTTGTCGGGCGCCTCCGCTTTTTCCAGGACCCGAGAAGGAGCAGAGGGTGCTGTCGCCGCCCCCTGCCCCGGGTGCAGACCAAGAGAAGGATCAGCGGGTGCTGTCGCCACCCCCTGCCACCGGCGGGGACCAAGACCACGGGAGCGCCGGCAGGTCTTGGGTACCCAGCCTGGCGTTTGGACAGGTGAGTGCTGCTGCTCCGAATTGATCGAGAGGTGCCTGGCGTGGGATTGGTGTGTTGCGGATGTTGGTGCGCAGTGTGAAGACATCCGATCGATGTGTTGCTGTGCGTTTACCGGTTATCGTGTAGCGGTTGAGGGGTGGGTTTTGGTGTTCCGGGTGAGTGTGGTAATGGCCCGGTTGAAGATTCCCCGTGCGTTGCGTGGACTGCCCAGGCGTTGCTAGTTGGTAATAGTTAATGTGTTGTGGCAGCGTGCTTTATCGAGAAGGCGATTGTTTCGGTCTCGTCGTGTCGGTCTCTTGGTGAGTTTATCACACACGAGAGAGATAAACTTGCCGTTAACTTCTCGTCGTACATGCAAGCTTGCCACACGTACTTCTGCGGGATACCAAAACCGAGGTTGACATACTTTGCCCTCCGCGGAGACGCGGGCCAACACTTGGCGAGGTAATTGCTTCCAGGGATAGATGGATTAACCGCAGTGTCCCTCCTTCGCGCGGTGCTTTGCATCCCCCGCCTTGTCGTTGGTCTCCGACCTCTCTTCCCGCTCGGCAGGGTGAGAACGCGCGACTCGCTACCGTGGTGGAAGAAATGGTAAGTGTTCGAGTACGATTACTGTTTTGGCATCATCGCGCGCTCGGCCCCCATGTACATTGTGTGTATTATCTTTAAGGTGGCAGTTCGGTGCTCGCTTGCCGATTAAACACACGTATGTTGGAGGTTTGCGTCGGAGATTGCGCTGGGTAACTGTTGAGCTATTTAGCTAGCGAGCGAGCTATCAACACTGTCAAGATGCGTTTTCGCGCATGGACGTTGTGGCTCCTGTGGTGGCCCCCCCCCGCTACTGTCTACCTGCGATCCAGAACTGCTCGCTCCCCATCACCTACAACTCTGACTCTGGCCCGATGATGACCCGTTCGTCCAACTCCCGTGCTTTCCAGTCTCCGAACAGCCTGCTCTCGTCGGACCAGTCCCACGCACAGTCTCGTCGCTGGGAGAGCTTGGGCGGGGCATCTGCGGACTCTACGTTCGAGCTGCAGGCCGACATCATGGACAGCATGTCCGAGCTGATGGGGCCTGCGACCGGGAGGCCGGCACCGGCATCGAAAGGCGCGCCGCCGCCGCCGCCGCCGCCGGCGACTGCTGTTGAGCCGAAGAAGCGTCGCGAGAGCGTCGGTGGTCGGACCGGGACGTCTTCGACGGCTGCTGGTGCTGAGCCGAGGAAGCGTCGGGACAGCGTCGGGGGTCGCTTTGCGACAGTGGGGGCTCCGCAAGATGCGGGCGGGGTGCGGCGGCAGCGGCAGAGCGCGGGCGGCCCGCCGCCGCCGCCGCCGCCGACCAGCCCGACCGTTGAGCTGTCGGGCGCTCTGGAGGGCTACATGGGAGACGAAGGAGGTGGACACCGGCGACGGCAGTCGAGCGTCAGCGGCGGAGCAGCAGCGGCCCCGCTGGGAAGCCCAACGGTCGAGCTGTCCGGGGCTCTTCAAGGTTACATGGGAGATGCTGGTGCTGACGCTGGCGGTCAAAGGAGGCTGTCTTCTGCATTTGCTGGTGCTGCCGCCGGCGTGGCTCATGGGGGAGGACAGCGGATGCGACGGCGACAGTCTAGCGTCGGTGGAGTAGCGCCGGCGAGCCCCACGGTTGAGCTGTCGGCCGAGCTCATGGGCTACGCCAACGACCTCGCCGCCGGAGCGCCTGCTAGTGAGTCCGCGGCGGGCGGGGTCGGGAAGGCCCGATCGCCTAGTCTGGGCCCGTTAAGTCCTGCCCCCGCTTCAACGCCCGCGGGCAAGCTCAGCGCCGAGGGGAAAGCTCGCCGCGCGGGTGTTCCGGAAGAGGAGGAGGAGGAGGGAGAAGAAGGGGGGGAGAACCGCAACACCGCCATAGGCACCGCCGTTGCAGTTGCATCGCCACCGCCGGCGGTGGCGGTCGCGGATGCTGTTGAGGCTCAGCCGGCCGCGGGGGAGGGCACCACCGCGGTCGAGGTAGCGGCGGCACCGGTTCCGGTGCCCGGCCGGCCTCCCGTCACCCAGCTTCCCCCCCGCCGCCGCCGCGCGTCTGTATCCGCGGCCCCCTCGCAGCAGCAGCTGCAGGGCGGCATGATCGCTGCCGGTTCAGGGGGAGGCCCGAAGCGCCGGGCGTCCCTCCAGGAGATGATGAAGCAGGCTCGATGCAGCTCCTTCGCGACTGGCGACGGTGGGGTTGGGGTGAAGACGCAGTCGGACGGCCAGAGGGAGTCGGCCGCCGGCAGGCTTCGCCGTCGGCTGTCGTCTGTCGGTTCCGTTCACTCCGGCCGAGAGATGGCGGCGGCGGCGGCGGCGGCGGCGGAGCCCGAAGTGCAGTCGTCGGAAGAGGCCGTGGATGGCGCTGAGGACGAGTCCATGCGGCTGGAGGACGGAGCGGAGGGTGAAGCGACCACGGAAGAGTTGATGGAGGACGCGACAGAGGACGATGATCTCACCGAGAACTTCGCCCCTCTGCGGATGGGCATGGAGGTGGGTATGGGGCTGTTCGAGGCATTCGATTGGTCAAGAGTCCGGACCAATATTGTGGTGGTCCTTGGTCGGGGTATTGTGTAGGGTATGGCGGCCCGGTTGGCCCCGAGAGAGGTGGTTTAGTGCTTTCTTTGTTCTCCCTCTGTTTTTATTGTGCCGCTATATTTTCCGGACCGAGACGTAGCGCAGTATGTCACGGCCGCTTTCTTGTTGGTGCTTGTGGTTCAAATGGTCTTTCCGCCATGCTCTTTTTTGTCTAGTATTTGTTTTTTTTCCCATCATACGCCGGCTAGGTGGATGCACATTCACGTCTCGCGACTAAAAAGCAGCACCACACCTTCCTCGTTCAAGCCTGACCCAAAAGCTGCTCCACGTCTCAAGCGTGGCGCGCTTCGTCATGGCTAACTCGGCCCTACCATGGCACCCGTCGGTCATCGGCACGCGACAGAAAGCCCACGCACCTAGTTTCGGCCGAGGCTGGAGTTCTTAGTTCCTATTAGGGTCATGCGAGGTTTTTTTTTGTACCGGTTCTTAACCTAGCTCAATAATGGTACTCAAGTTCCTACTTTTCGAAGTAGATTTAAATTTTTGTTTTTAGGCTCGAGTTGTTAGCTGCCATATATTGCGCCCCAAAAACTGAAAATATATTCTATATAGCCAAATCGAAACACACCCAATACGCCTTGCAACTGATTGTTGCCTGCTTGAGAACTAGCATGTGTTTATCTGAGTATATGATGTATAGTTGCTAAGTCCCAGCGGTTGTTTCTGTATTGCAGGACCTCATCAAGTTCGCAGCCCCTGAGGGGGTCGACCGTGAGCGCCGGTGGGCTACGAGAAGCATGGTGGTGCCCCTCAAGGGCACTTTGTCGCGGGACCGCCTGCGGGACATGCCGGACGAGTTGGTGTACGCCATCGCCGGCGCTCTAGACGACGCGGCCATCGAAATGGAGGTAGGGGTGTAGGGGTGTCTCTTTTTTTCGTTTTCTGTAAGAAAATGTTGGATAAGGCATGCAATCGGGGAAGTTGGGTTAGGGATAGGGTGAGGGAATAGGGTCTGCGTACCCCCCTCCCCGCCCTATTTCCTCACAAACAGCGAGATTGGCAGACACTTCCTGCCTCATGTTTCGATCCACTGATGACGGTTTTTACGGGGAACCTTTACCTTAGCCTGGCCTCCCCCCCCCCCCCCCCCCCTTGTGT